GGAAGTGGGGTCTCCCCGTCTAGAGAGGCTCTAGCCAGAGTCTTTCACTAAGGAAACTTATCTGATTAATGTTAAAGCCTATTTTGTCGGGATCTAAAACTTGCGCTTGAGACAGACAGCTCTATCTTGACCAGCCCTGCGCATTAGGGAGCCACTACCAAACATAGCACTTCAATTCAGGCTTAGCAGGTTTGTAAATTCGGTAGGACTGTGTTTCAAGGGTGCAGGTTATTCAGTTATCCAATACCGTGCGACAAGCTACTGCACACAAACTAGATCAAGATTACGCGGACTCTTGCGCTCCCTAGGGTCCGCGGGAAAGCTCCGAAACACCGCCCAAGATATTTGCAAGCACAAACGGCGAGGGAACCTATTTTACCTCAGTCCGCTCGGGCCCAAGTCCTGAGGCAGTGCCAATCAGACAGCCACTTCCGTACGGAGGCGGAACTTCCTTCTGCAGCACGCAGGCGTGCGTGAAAGCCCCGCCCCGGAACTGCAGTTTCAGACGCTGCTGCAGTTCCGGGTTGGGCTGGCGCAGGCTGTACGGTGTGTGAGGGGACGGCGGCGGTGAGTTCTGTTGGTGAGTGCAGAGCGGAGCGGGCCGTAGCCGGCTGCGGAGGGGCTCCCGGTGTCCCGACAGCCCAAGTTCCCAGGTAGCTCACGCCCGAGAGCTCTTGCTTGGGGCATCAATGCCCAGCAACCTCCCTTGAAGGGCTCGTGCGGCCCTACTGCCCGAAGGACTCTTGCAGCCGCTGCAGGCATCTCCCCGCGTCCCATTTTTAGCGCTGTTTTTGTTCTCTTCCCCCTTTTCCTGGTGGGACTGAGGTGTCGTGCAGCCGATGCCTGGGCGCGCTGGGCGAGCCTTGCCTGCGAGTCAACGTGCCTCTACACAGGCGCCATGCTAAGCGGCTTTTGACATGCGTCACCGTTTCGTCTTCACATGACGACCCAGTGAGATAAATCTTATTATCCTCAAATTGCCGATGAAGAAACTGAGGCACAGAGATGTTCACCAAAGACTCAGAGCTGGCAAGTGCAGGATCCAGATTTGAATCGAGCCTTGCCTTATGCTTTCCACAGGGTCTGTTTTTTCTCATTTAAAGAGAGCAGTGCGGAACCACTCCCACTCATATGAGTCGTGCATAAGGCTCCCCCACCTCCCGAGACTTGGGTTTCTCGTAGCGAGGGATGGCTTTGAGCTCCCCATCTTCCTATATCCATATGTAAAACTATATGTAGTGGGCTGGATATTCACTACATACGGTTTTACACAGGGCTGGGGTGGAACCTACGATTCGTTCATGTTAGGCAAACACTCTGAGCTACATCTGTAGTTCTAGGTTACTTGAAATGTAGAGAGCTGTATGGGATTTAACCTTTCTGGCCAAGGCCAGAATGATGGAAATGACATTTGCCTTGTTCTAATAGGGAAGAGAGCTCAGTGCACTTGTAATAAAGCCCACTCTGTTCTCTAAACACAGAAACGAAAAAACACTCTGATTTGTACTCCCATCTTCAAATTGACTTATGTAGGTAAGCATCATTCTATCTTTTGGTAAATTTAATTATTTGTGTTCAGCATAAAATTAGATATTATCAATTAGCTATTATCGCACCACTCCCCTTTTAAAGGATTTAAACACTAAATTCTGAGAGGAGTAGGCAGTATTGTTGAAGGTTGCATATAAATTAAGGGTTGGAGCTGGGATTCTAACCAGAATTAGCTCATGTATCTTTACTCCATTGCTTGTGTTCTCTCTGCTCCAAGCCAAACTACCGATTCTGTGGGTGTATTTCATATTCTGGCTGGGAAGATCTCTCTGTGTGTTAAATCATCTTCATGTCCTCAATTGTTTGCGGGGTCTTGTATGTTTTAGGTTTGTTGGACAGTGTGTGTTGCCTTAAAACCTATGTCACTAACCTAGAAGACTTTTTTTTTTTCCAGCAACCATGAAGTTGAAGGAGACAAAATCAAGGCCAAAGCCAGCAAGCCGTGCCAGATTTCATACAAAGGGCATCAAAGTTGTGGGAAAATGGAAGCAGGTGACAATCGATCCAAATCTGTTTGCAGATGGACAGATGGATGACTTGGTGTGCTTTGAGGAACTGACAGATTACCGTTTAGTTTCCCCTGCCAGGAATCCCTCTGGTTTCTTCTCAAATGAAGAACCCAAAAAGAGAAAGGCCCAAGCTGTTTCAGAAGAAGAGGAGGAAGGAGAGTCCAGTTTGCCAAAGAAAAAGATCAAGTTGAAGAATCGCAAAGATGTGGTACTGATTGCCGAAGGAAATACTGCCGAGGATGGATTTGAAGTCAAAGATTCTGAGCCAGAGACTCAGGAAGATGCCACTGTTTGTTCTAATCAAAAGGTAGCAGGAGCAGCATCGGAAAACCTGGCCCAGGCTGTTCCCAAAAAGAAGAAAAACAAAGGGAAAAAAAAACTAGACACTTCCCAGAGCACTGCCCCTAAATTGCCCAAGAAAGCAAAGACATGGATGCCTGAAGTGCAGGACCAGAAGGCAGATGTGTCAGCCTGGAGAGATCTGTTGGTGCCCAAGGCCGTTCTCCGAGCACTCAGCTTTCTAGGCTTCTCTGCACCTACCCCAATCCAAGCTCTGACTCTGGCCCCTGCCATCCGTGACAAACTGGACATTCTTGGAGCCGCTGAGACAGGTAAGGGCTGTTCTTTCTGTCCCAGGCGGGAGAGTGTCTTTAGTTGCACATAGGCTGGAAAAGTAGAAGGAGGGATTGTTGAGATTGTGACCACATTCATTCAAAAGCCGTGTTGAGTGAAGGTGCTGAAGCCATCCGGTCTGTCCTGAAATCTACCCGCATGACTGTGGTACCTTTGCTTTATGTCGGTAGGTCCCATGTGAGATGGAGGTGACAACAGTACTTACCATCTGCTCGCTGCTCTTTGTCAGGTTGAAAGTGTTCTCTCAAAGCTCCACTCAGGAGTTCGAAAGTCAAAACTGCATGTTAGATTTTTTTTTTTTTACAAATGTTCTTGTATATAGATATGTAGGTTTTTGGTTTTAGTCTTTTGATAAAGGCACAGTACATTGATTTTTCAGAAGTGAAAACCAAACATTTTCTGAGAAACAGTGAGCTTGATCACAGTGTGTTTATATATTATTGGATTTGGTCAAGTGTGAATATGAAATTAGAATATTCATCTGTTGTTTCTTGTAATGTCTGGTATTGGAGTTAACAGTAACACTTGTTTCAAGAACTTCTGAAGTGTTCTCTTTTCAATTATCTGAAGTAGTTTAAAATATCGGTGTTTTTCCCTTAAATAATTGTTTAAATTTATCTGGGCTTGCTTGCTCTTTCCTTTCTAGGAAGGCTTTTAAATACAAATACAATTTTTAAAATATTAGTGTTATTTTCTTTTGTTCACTTTTCCCTGAGTAATAGTTTTTCACTCAAAATTCTATCCAGTTCTTTGTTTCATGTAACTGACTGTCTGTTGGAGGTTTAAAAGTATTTTATATATTAAAATAGAATTGTGTGAGCTGTCCCCTTTTCATTATGAAATAACCATCTTTATCCCTATAAGAGTTCTTTGTTCTAATATCTGCTTTCATATGACTACAGGTATTCATTCTGGCTTTATTTTGATTTTGGTATGGTCTGTCCTTTTCCATATTTTCACATAGTTTTTCCTTAGACAGCCATTGCTCTTCTGTTTTATATGCATTCCTGTGAGTAGTTGATAACTTTTGTTTTTTAACTGAGTTATTCAGGCCCTTTATACTTAATGTGATTATGGAAAACAGTTGAGTTTAAATCATGAGTTTAAATCAGTTGTTTTGACTCTTTTGTATTTGTCCCAGATGTTTTTACTGTCATCTTACTTGGTATTAAAATTCTTGGTGATATTACAGATTAAGTATTTGTTATTTGAAATATTTGAGACACATGGTGTTTGTTTTAAATTTAGATTTTTAAAGAAATTAATATTTGTATATACATAATGGAATATCCTAGAGAGTTATAGGATCCAAGTCTATGTATGAAAGTTTTATATTTCAAACACTCATTAAACATATAACCTGAAGGTCATGTTGGCATTCAGAATGTTTAAACATCTTTTAGTACTTGAGAATTCAGATGTTTGGGTTGGGGTACTCAACTTGTATTAGGATCTTTTTGAAAACAAATAAAAACTGTGATGGTGCCTGCCTTTAAGAACCAGAGGGCCTGTGAGTTTTAGTTCAGCCTGGTCTACAAGGCAAGTTCCAAACCAGCCAGGGCTATTTAGAACCAGTCTCAAAACAAAACAGCAACAGAAAAGATGTTTCTGGATTTTTGTGCCCACAAAGCACTTAGGATACAACAGATTCTCTGGGGTTTTACCAAACCAACTAATTCTCTCCTTCTCAGCTCCTGTCAGGTGACCTATAATGCATTTAACTTCTGACTAACTGGAGTTAGAGTCATTCCCCCAAGACTCTCAGGTCCTGGTCTTACAAGACTTTCTTACTGAGCAGCCCCTAGTCCTGATTTGTTTGGCTTCAAATTAAGGAGCTCCTGGTACCCTCCTCAGGTTTAGTACTTCTCACTGACTACCAAAACTCAGGAATCTGGCTTAAAGGTTTTAACATGGGCACAGCCTGATAGGAGAGATTCACAAGGCAGAATGTTGAGGGTAGTAAGAGGGCAAAGGGTTTCCATGAGCCCGCCATGGGCATACCACCTTTTATGAGTTCAGCATCCTGGAAGCTCTTTAAATCCCATTGTTTGTAGTGTTCGTACAGAGCCTCCAGGATATGGGCATGACTGATGATTATTGGAGACTGAAGTCAATCTGCAGTCCCTCTGTGGTGGGTCAGGGAGTCCCTGCCTTGCGGCCGCCAGCTTCCATTCTGAAGTCTTTAGCTCACAGTCGTCTTGTAACAAGACCCTGTTACTCCTGAGGTTTTGAGCCTCATGTCTTAGACCAGGAGTGGAGGTGAAGAATAAATACTGTAACAAAAGGTGCTGCTTTCAAGAAGTGGCAAGGGTTCCATTTCAGGGACTGAGACCCAGTACACAGTCACAGCTTTGTGGTGTCTTCTAGTGTTGGCTTTAGGGTTCACAGACTACGTCACAAGATGTACACATATATTTATCGTAGCTTGCCTTCAAGTGATACAGTGCCTCGTGTGGCATAAGAACTTCTCAAGGGCTTACCTCCACCTCCCTCTCCTTTGTACTTTGTATATATATGTGTGTGTAGTTTTATTTCTATGTTTTAGAAACTCCGAAATATGCTTTTACTGTTTTGGTGTAAGCAGTTACTTTTTTAAAAGAGGCTTAAAACCATTTCTGTTTCTGTAATTTCTGCTGCACTTTGTTCCTTGTGTAGATGGAGATTTTCATAAGCCACCACACTTTCTTCTGCACGGCTTTGGTTAGCATTCTTTACAGCAGATCTGCAGGGATTCAGCTTAGCTTTTGTAAGACTAAAGCAGCCTTTGTTTTGTATTTGTTTTAAAGGAATTTTTTTTCTGGGTAGCCCTGAATTGTCAGTTTTATTTTGCTGAGACTGTCAAATATGGTTGGTTCTATGATGTCTTTTGGTTTTCATTGTTTTTGATAAAAAGTCTGTTGTTTTTCTTAAGTTTTTGAGTTTTGGTTTTTTTTGTTTTTTTTAAGCTTTTGCTTCTAATGTTTTGCTTCTTTGGTGTGGTTATTTTTTACTTAGAACTGGTCATTTGCTTTGAAAACTATTCATAAAAGTTTTTCTTCCTTTTTTCAAATTTTTAAAAACATTTATGTATGTGTGTGCATTTATATATAGGTATGTACAAGCCAAGGCCTGTGTATAGAGACCAGAGGACAGCTAGTGGGAATAGGTAGGTTCATTCCTCCCACCTTGTGGATCTTGGTATTGACCTCAGGTCTTCCTTAGACTTAGTGGCAAGTTCCTTTATCCAAAATTGAACCATCTCACTGGACTATCAAAGTTCTTTGCAGGACTTTTTTTTCTTCCAGAGACCACCTATTGATTTTGCCTGGGGCATTCTTACTTGTCAGCTTCAGAATACAGGATGGATACTTGGGTGTTTGTTCTTTGCCATTGGTGACTTCTGGTCTAGTGCCAGCATACCGAACCTTTCCTTGTTTTATCTCAGGTACCCAGTGCATGCGCTGGAGAAACCTGTGTAGGACGCTGGTGTTTTGGTCTGGTCAGGATGGCACATGGCTCTTTCAGTTTCCTTATTTCTATGCAAGGGCAGGAACTGTGAATGATGACATGTGATCATAGAATCCTGGTGTTTGTGCTTTACTTCTAAGGAAGCGGGAAAACCCTTGCTTTTGCCATCCCGATGATTCATGCAGTGCTGCAGTGGCATAAGATGAAGGCTCCACCCATCCCTATTAGCACTGGCGTGCCACCAAGGGAGACCAGGTTAGGAGCTGCAGCCGATCTCAGATCACCTTGCAAGGATGGCGCTGAGTCTGGAGTGTTGCCTGAGGGGGCCGGAATTGAGAATGAAGCACAGCCCAGTGAAGCTGGAGCCCAGGCCAAACCCCAGCGTGGTGCCTCTGCCTCAGCCCAGCTCTTCCGTGATGATGATGCTGGTGAAGGACCTTCTTCCTTGGTTGAGGAAGAGCTTGTCCCCAAGCAAAATGAGGACAGAGAAGAAAAGCTGGATGAAGAGCAGGCTGGGAAGTTAAAACAGGAATCATGTGACCAAATTGCTGCCTATAAAGTACCCCCAAGGCGTCCTCTGCTGGGACTGGTCCTGACTCCCACTCGAGAGCTGGCTGTCCAGGTCAGACAACACATTGATGCTGTGGCCAAGTTTACAGGTGAGCTTAGTTCCACTTAGTAAATGTTTCTAAACGGGTCTCTAAATGCCAGGAGACTACAGTGAGAGTTGTGGCTCCTGTACTCTAGTGGAACTTTCTCATCTGCTGAAAAGTCAAGTCCTTTAGAAATCAACTGACAGTTGTTCCAATTCTCTCAAGGGGACCAGATCAAGGGGAGCCTGACCTTTTAAGAACAATGCTGAACCCTGCCTTGAGATAAGAGCTTAATTCTGTTCCTTTTGGGAAGGGTTTTCAGTGTGGTGTTTATCCTAACAAAAGGCATGTTTCTCGCTGAGTTCGTCCTCTCCTTCGAGGCGCTTCCTGAGTGCCTTGGCTGTATTACCCTGTGTGTTCACTCCTGTCCCTTGGCCCAGAGCAGCTCTCTCTGAAAGAGAAGACAACACCATCCTTCCCAGCACTGTAGAACATCACTGCTTATGTTCAGAGCTGTGGAAGTAAGGGTGACCAGGTTTAAATCCAGCCTTCCTTGTGGTGAGAGGGGAGAGAATTTGACCAGGTTCAAATCCAGCCTTTCTTGTGGTTAGAAGGGGGAGAATAGAAAGAAACGGCAAAGTAGACAAAATACAGAATACTTGGTAATCCCTCTAGGAGGCCAGGCCAACTTTTTCAGTTCTTCTTTGGCAGAGAAGGCTGTGATAGTGACCATGCACTGCTCCATAGGACGAGCAGCCAGACGGACTAACGTTGTTGTTAACACTGTGGTTTTCTGTCCTGTAGGGATTAAAACAGCGATTTTAGTTGGTGGAATGTCCACACAGAAACAGCAAAGGATGCTGAACCGCCATCCCGAGATTGTGATCGCCACCCCTGGTCGGCTTTGGGAGCTAGTTAAAGAAAAACATCCTCATTTGAGCAACCTCCGGCAGCTCAGGTGAAAGACAGTCCCTTCCCCCTTCACTCTTAACCCTCTCTGAAGTGAGCCTGAGGTGGCTGGATGGTGCTCTCTCACTATCACTGAACAGTGGCCATCTAGGCCATATCCTCAGACATGAAGCGTGCGTGAGAAAAGTGAATGGATACCCTCGTGCTGATGGTAAGGTGCCTGCATGTACAAGTGGATGAGAGTATGTGACTGGGGTGGGAGTGGGATATTCTGTAGAACTTTCTCTTCCCTGAAGTTGCACTAACCATTGTTTTGGGTCTGCAGGTGCCTGGTGATAGATGAGGCTGATCGGATGGTTGAGAAAGGCCATTTTGCTGAACTCTCCCAGCTGCTAGAGCTGCTAAATGACTCCCAGTATAACCCGAATCGACAAACTCTTGTTTTTTCTGCCACGCTAACGCTGGTACACCAAGTTCCAGCTCGACTCCTTCATAAGAAGCATGTGAAGAAAATGGATAAAACCACCAAACTTGACCTTCTTATGCAGAAGATTGGCATGCGGGGCAAGCCAAAAGTCATTGACCTCACAAGGAATGAGGGTACAGTGGAGACACTGACGGAGACCAAGATCCACTGTGAGACTGATGAGAAAGACTTGTATCTCTACTACTTCCTCATGCAGTACCCAGGTCGTAGCCTGGTGTTTGCCAACAGCATCTCCTGCATTAAACGCCTCTCTGGACTCCTCAAGGTCCTGGATATCATGCCACTGACTCTCCATGCCTGCATGCACCAGAAGCAAAGGCTCAGAAACCTGGAGCAGTTTGCTCGTCTGGAGGAGTAAGTGAAGTCTGTCTCCAGGGGCATGGCTTTGAACCATGAGCCACTGTACTCAGGGGCCAGGGTGGCAGGGAACTAGGGACCCCATCCTCAGTTATAGGTGCCTTAGCACAAGACAGGGTAGCTCTCCTTTCCTTCTTTTTTTTTTTTTTTTCTTTTTCTTGATTTTATTTCTGTATATGGCAAGGTCGCTTATTCATTGTGTTTGTTTGCTATTAATGTTCTACTTTGACTTCCAGTAATTGGACAACAAATGAAGTCCTGGCCATCCAGTTACTTCTAACATCCTTGAGAAGCAGCAGAGTAAATTGTGATTGAGATCACAGACCCAGAGTCCACGCCACACCTCATGTTTGTCCATCTGTCTATGGACTAACTCTGATGCAGGGAGTGGATACAGGTTTTCTTGTCTAAGGAAGAGTGAGGCAGTCTCTCAGAATGGAGGAGGTTAAGTGAGATGGTATTAGGAGGTAAAGACAGCGACCCAGAATATATGTGGCTTCACTTAACTCACTGACAGAATATGGGTGCTTGAGACAGACCCAGGCTTGGGGTCCTGATTCCACAACAGAACAGACAAGTGCACACTATGGAAAATGGATCTCTCAGCCTTAGGTTCTTAGTTATAAAAGGGCGATACTAGCATTACCTTGTAGGGCTGACTAGTAATTGCTATTATTTTAAATTATGGATGTGCTTTGTTTCCATCACAGCTGTGTTCTCTTGGCAACAGATGTAGCAGCTCGAGGTCTGGATATTCCTAAAGTTCAGCATGTCATCCACTACCAGGTATGGCTCTTAGCATTAAAGCTTCCCTGTCCTCGCCCACAGTCCTGCCCCCTGCAATGTATGGGGACGTGTTAAAGCAAAGGTTGAAGCAGAGAGAGGATATTGCTCCTCAGGCTTCTGTAACATGTTCATATTAGCATCTAGTGCCCACTCTTACAGCTTTTGAAACACTTAGGGAGTGTTTTCAGGCTATTTGATATCAACGGATTACAGTGTAATCTTGCTCTGCTTTCTGTTACTACAACAAAATTCCTAAGATATGGTAATTTGTAAGAAGGTGTGCCTGTTGATTCTGGGGCCTGAAAAGTCCAAGGGCATGGCACCAACATGTGCTCAGCTTCGGGTGGGATCCTTGATGTGGAAGGGCAAGCAGGCGGTAAACATGAGGGAGATAGCCCTGGTATGCAGCATGCCATGAACTCCGCCCTGGGACAGGAGAACTCCCCCATTCCTGTTTCTAGCTCATCCACACCTCTCCTAGGCCTCTATCAGCATTGCTGCACTTGTTACATAGAAGAATTTAGCTTCAGCATGAGTTTTGGTGGGGACAGACCACAGCAACATGGTTTTTGTTTTTATATTTGTTTGTTGTCTTTGAGACAGGATTTCTCTGTGTAGCCTTGGCTGTCTTGGACTCACTTTGTAGACCAGGCTGGCCTCAGACTCTGCCTGCCTCTGCCTCCCTGAGTGCTAGGGTTACAGGCATGCACCACTGCTCCCAGCTTTATTTTTGTAATTTTAATTTTTATTGAAAATAGATTTTTTTCTTACAGTATATTCTGATCACAATTCCTCTTCCCCAGGTCATCCCAGATCCTCCCCATCTTCCAACCCACCTACATCTATACCCTTTCTATTTCTCTCATTACAATATAAGCAACTAAAACAAAACAAATCAGAATAGAACTATAACAAACAGAAAAAAAGAGTCAAAGATAAAACACAAGAATGCATACAGATGCAGAGGCACACATATTCCCCCATACAAAATCCCATAAAAATACAAAATCAGCAACCACAATACATAGACAAATACCTGTAAAAAAGGAAAATAAATAAATAAAAAGCTTGTGCAAAGCATTATAAAAATACCATACCAAAACTACCATTGCGTTCATTTGTTTTGGCCATCTACTGCTGGGTCTTGGGTTTGCCCTGAAGTGTGGTTTGAATACCCAGTGAGACTTGGAGAAAACTTATTTTTCCTTTGCTAGGGGCTGTGAGTTATGGATGGGGCCTTGTATTCACCCTCCTTCTCCCATCTTCTCCCCTGGACCCCATCTGGCTTAGATCTGTGCAGGCCCTATCCATGCTGCTTCTGTCATTCTGAGTTCATATGTGTGTCAGTCCTGTGTCTAGGCCTCATTCCTTAGTGTCTTCCATCCCTACTGGCTTATACAATCTTTTACTTTTCTTCTTCCACAAAGTTCCCTGAGCCCTGAGAGGAAGAGTTTGATGGAGACATCCACTTAAGACTGAATGTTCCAAGGCCTCTCACTGTACATTGTCCAGGTGTTGGTCTCTGCATTTGTTGCCATCTACTTCAGGAGAAAGCTTTTTTTTTTTAAGATTGATTGATTGATTGATTGATTATTTGTATGGTATTCTGCCTGCATGTACACCAGAAGAGGGCACCAGATCTTGTTAGAGATGGTTGTGAGCCACCTTATGGTTGCTGGGAATTGAACCCAGGACCTTTGGAAGAGCAAACAGTTCTCTTAACCTCTGAACTGAGCCATCTCTCCAGCCCCTCATTTTTTTTTTTTTATGGCTGAGCTGTGATCTATGAGCATAGTAGAACATTGTTAGGAGTCGTTTAATTGCTATGTTTCTTTAACAGAACAGTAGTATTTGTTTTTCCCTAGGTCTGTGGCATATCTTATTTCAGTTTCTTGGCCATTCAAGCAGTGTCAGGCGTGGGTTCCATCTCATGGTATTGGTCTTAATTCTAATCGAATATTAGTTGCTTGCTTTGTCACTATTGCACCAGCGTATTCGTCATTGTAGGTTGGAGAGTTTGTAGCCGGGTTGCTGTTTACCTTTCTCTTCTGGTAACGTGTTGGATACTCTTTAGTACTATGAACACTAGTTCACATAGACACTAGTCCATGGGGGTTCTAGTAGTTCTAGTAGGTTCTAGGTAGGCTCGACTTCCCCATGTCCAGTGAGTTATGGACATGTCTTCAGCAGTGTGGCTTTACCGTCAGTTGTGGAGAGCAATAGTTAACCTTGGCAATAGCCCTGGGTGGTTTGGGGATTTCAAGGGGCCACCTCACTGCAGTGTGTTTAGTGTTAGTCTGGTGTGCAGTGCAAGGGTGCTGTAGGTAAGACCTCCCTTGGCTAAATCCCAGCTGTGTGACCTTCAACAAGTTGTTCAGTCTCGGTCCCTTGGTTTTCTCATTTTGTGAATGACAGGATAGGTGTCTCTGGGTTAGTAAGACACATATGTTAAGATATAAGAGCTTGGGCAGCCAAATCGGAAACACCAACTGCATATCGATTGGGAAGAGCAAACAGCAGAATGTAGTTGGTTGTAGTAGGGAGCATGAGCTCCAGATCCTACTGCCAGGAATTGAACACTACTCTGATGCTTCAGGGTTGATAGCTTTGTGCGGCTGAGAGTCCTCCTCCACTCAGGCCATGTCAGCTGTGGTATGTTTTATATTTAATTTACATCTTCTTTGCATCCTCGTAAGTATTCATAAGGATGCTGGGACTCTTACCAGAAGCTGGTGCCAGAAGTGGTTTAAAACACAAAGGCCCTCCACATCCTGATAATACATGTTCTGACAGCCAGTTAAGGCAGCAGCTAGGGGTATAGGTCACCTCATTCCTGGGAAGGAGCTTCTGACACTTCTGGCTCCATCTGTGGCTCTCCACACACAGGTACTCTGACACCATTTGTTTCAGTGCCATTGTCTGTAAACAGGAAGCAACAGTCACACCTGCCCCTTAGGGTTATTATGAGAACTGAGTTGAGTAGCTACTGAAGCACCTACACAGTCTAAGTGTGGAAAGCCTGGAATCTGTTAGGATGCTTTTTATTTTTCATTTTTAGTTCTTTTGCTTTTAAAAACCTTTGAGGGTACAGATTTCAGATTAGTGCCTCTCTAGAACAGAGGGACTGGGTCTGTTTTAGAAGCTACCATGACCACATAATATAGTCCCAGCCCCTAAGAAGTACTACATCCCATAGAGAAGAAATGAGATATGACCACCACTAGAACACAAGGCAGGAAATATTAGAAAATTATCACATGGAATATAGTTTGAAAGGATGCCAAGCGCTTTCTAGACGATGCTGGCGTTCCAGGATGGAGAGGTTGGGATATGCAGAGGGGTGTAAGGAATGTGTAGAAGGAGGTGTGCTCAGGGTATGCCTTAGGGTTTTGCTGCTGTGGTAAATACCAGGACCAAAAAGCAACTTGGGAAGGAAAGGGTTTGTTTCACCTTGCAGCCTAACATGAAGGGAAGTCGGGGCAAGAACCTAGAGGCAGGAACTGGAGCTGCAGCATGGAGAAACGCTGCTTCCTGGCTTGTTCTTCACTGCTTGCTTGGTTTGCTTACTTGCTTGGTTTGCAACCCAGGACTACCTGTCCAGGGTGCCATTAACCACAGTGGGCGGGCCCTCTCACATCAATCATTAGTCAAGAAAACGCCCTACAGGCCAGTCAATCTGATTGCAGTACTTTTCTAGTTGAGGCTCCTTCTTCCCAGATGACTCTAATTTGTATCCAATTCAGAAAAAAGGCTAGCACAGGGTCACTTAGCCTGGAATGAGAAGAGGACTTTGTTGGTAGGTGCGTAGTTGCTGAGGCCAGCAGGTAATTGGGAGCAGGTGGCCTAGAGTATCGCTGGCTCTCCATTCCATAAGATGAACAGCACATCTCATTTCTAGAATCATGGCCAACGGTTCATAGTGATACTGCGCCTACTGCACTTCATTAGTGGTGGCTGCTACAGGAAGCAGGGGTGCCAGGACCCATGCCATGCTTTCTGTGGACAACAAACCTGTTGTAGCTGGGGTTAACATGCTCTTTGAACCCTGGCTCACACATTTTTTTAGATAACCTAGTGGAAGAGTGGGTGGACCTCTCTGTATTTTAGCTTCCTAGTTTATATTATGTGGACAATGATGAAGTGTTTTTGTTACTTTTTATACTATTTTATTTTGGTTTCTTAATGCCTCTTCCTCCCTTCTCCACCCCAATCCCTTCCAACACTCCACCACCAGGTAGGAAAGAAGACATGTTAGTGGGGCTAAGAGGTATAGTTTTTCTTAGCTACTTCCTGCTGCTAAGGGCCATTGGGTTCCTTGGGGCAAGTTCAACCTTCGTTTCAGGAGATCTCCAACTTCTTCTCATCCAACTGTGTCAACAGCAACTAGGGACAGCACGGGGCAGGGTATACTAGCAGCCTTCTTTCTCAGAGTCCCCCAACACGCTGGGCTCTAGCTTTTATTTCCTCTCCAGAGTCCTCAGATTTAAACTATCTGCAACTGGCAAAGGGCCCCTCTCAGAGCCTCAGGCAAATAGGTTGCTGCTGTGGACAGTCTGAATCAGTCCCATATCCTACACCTGGGATCAAAACAAAAACATGTTTACATATCATAAACCAAAATGCCCATAACAAATAAGTATTTCATATGACTGAATAATATTGTCTTCTTTACATTTCTGTTGCTGTGATAAAACAGTATGGCCAAGGCAGATTACAGAAGAAAAGGTTTATTTGGCCCATGGTTCCAGAGGGTTAAGAGTCTTGATGAGGGAATAGAGCTGACAGGTGAAAAGTGGGTGGCGCAGCAGCTGAGAGCTCAACTGCAAATATGAAGCAGAGAGTACGATAGAAATGGTGCCCGACTTTTGAGACCTCAAAGCCTGCCGCCAGTGACACACTTCCTCCGGTGAGGTGATGCCTCCCAGGTCTCAAAAAACAGCTGCCAATTGGGGACCGAGTCTTCAAATGCATGACACCTAGCGGGACCATCTCATTCAAACCTGCATGTACAAAGTGTTTTGCGGTTGCTTGGCCTAAAGCAGTCACTCAGTAACTGTTGGTCATAAATGTACTATCATCAGTTACCTATCAGAGCTGAAGAATCTGGAGTTTCAAAGCTGAGACTCAAGTAGATGCTGTTGGTCAAAAGGAGTGTGGGAGTGGAGAAGATGAGAGAAAACCAGACAAACGAGATTGATTGTGAAGAGCTAGACCAGTGTGGAGGCTCTGGGAGAGCAGAGCCTGCATAGTGAATGGGATGTCAACTTAGGGCAGTCTGTGTCAGGACATAGCCTAAGCTGGAGACCTAGAGAGGTCTCTGTCCTGCAAAGAACAGAGCCAGTTGGGAGTGTGGCCCTTAGGAAAGAACAATTTTGGGCAGTGTCTGTGTGCCGATCATCGTTGCTGCTTTGGCAGGTACCCCGCACTTCAGAGATTTATATCCACCGAAGTGGTCGGACTGCTCGTGCTACCAGTGAAGGCCTCAGCTTGATGCTGATTGGGCCCGAGGATGTGATTAACTTCAAGAAGATTTACAAAACTCTCAAGAAAGACGAGGACATCCCACTGTTCCCGGTGCAGGCAAAGTACATGGATGTAGTCAAGGTAAAAAAGTTATGCTCCAGTGTACTGCCTCTCACAGAACACCTTACTCTGAGACCAGAAGCCCTATCCTAGGGAATGGAGAAATGTTTCTGTTGATGGCTAGATGGTGGCTTTTGTAAAAAGGGTGGAAGTGTCAGACCTGGGAGAAAAGCAGAAAAGGTAGTGACTAGAGAAGTGTATTTTGTACCTTATTTATTTTGCTATTGGTCCTGAACTCTACTTCTTCTGTTCCAGCCAGACAGTTCAGTGAGCACAGCCATATAGACATTTGTCAGAGAGCTGTGAACAGCAAGATAAAGGCTGAAGGTGTGATGTACTTGTGAAATAGAGGCAGTAAGACTTGCTTTCTGAGCTTATAGTAACTCAGGAGCATTCACTGTGATTGCTGTGTGCCCTGGGCCACCGTGCATCAGGGGCTAATATGAGGCAGTTTTCCCAAGAGACTCACCAGTGTTTGTATAGGCCATGTCCACAGCACAGTGAGGTTTCTTTTCCACGGAGCACAGGCTTAACAGGCATGTGCTTATGATGTGGAGAGCAAAGGCTTTATCCCACTCCAGAGATAAGGGTGAAGATGAGATGGAGTTGCGGGCAATGAGGGAGTGAAAACAAGGGGCAGTTGGAGGGCCTGTGGCCATTTGGGCATGAAAGTTAGCTGTGTGAGCATTTAGATGGGGCTGGCGGAAGATGGGATCACAGAGAATTCCTGGTAAAGACACTGGGAGCCACCCCAGTTTCACACGTCCATATTTCCACTGCACATGATCTCTGCATGTCAGGATGAGGGGACATTGTATCACTGCAGTCTTACCTCAAGACACATAAGAAAGAGACTCGAGGAAGGCAGGTGTGTCAGCTGGAGAGACAAGTTCACTCGGAACAGCCTGGGACAGTCCTCTAAGGAGGTACAGGCAGGCTTCTGTGGTTGTGTGTGGGGGTCACCTGGGCTTTCAGCAGGAACCTGGGCCAGGATTTCCATAGGATTTGCAATGTCTCTCATTGGCCACTCATCTCAGTGCAGTTTAGGAACAGCTTCAGTGAAGCTTTGCTTGCTGAGAGGCCCAGACCCTCCATCAGGTAAGCGCTTTGTGTTACTGTCCCCTCAGGAGCGGATCCGTCTAGCCCGGCAGGTTGAAAAAGCTGAGTACCGGAACTTCCAGGCTTGTCTACACAACTCCTGGATGGAGCAGGCAGCGGCAGCCCTCGAGATTGAGCTAGAAGAAGAGATGTACAAAGGTGTGCCTGGGCAGGGTGGGAAGCCTGCGTTCGGTGTTCGCTTTCCCTTTAGCTTATCTGGTTGGGACCATCCTTACTTCTGTGAGCCTGTCAGGGGCAACAAGGTGCCCTTTTCTTGTCTCCAGGCTGCTCATCCTGTATGGGCTAGGTGCCTTGGGTCTTTCTTGTCCTACTGCCTCATAGAGCCAGCCCTTGGAATCCATTAGTGGGAACAGATCACAAGCAGGATGTCCTTGTTACTGCAGCCTGTTCTTTTACTGTGTGATTAGCCTTTCTGCTATACTGTTCTCTTCATCTGTAAGACAGGTAATGAACTCCCTATCTCCCAGCTTAAGGTTGAGTAAAGGAAGCTAAACTGATAAACCTATGCTGGAAAACAGGGAGCATATGAACAACCACTAAGTCGGTATTTATCATAGTAGTTAGTGCCGCTCCTGCCTTCCAGGGCAGCACAGCGCCTCCATGTCTCATGTAACTTCTCCAGTTTCTTAGCATGAATGGAGAGGGAACTGTTGTTCTTTTACATGAGGGATAAAGGCTCACAGAGAGCTGTGCAGTGGTGGCACACGCCTTTAATCCCAGCACTTGGGAGGCAGAGGCAGGTGGATCTCTGTGAGATTGAGGTCAGCCTGTTCTACAGAGTAAGTTCCAGAACAGCCAGGGCTATTCAAAGAAACCCTGTCTCGAAAAACTGAAAAGGGAAAAAAAAAAGGCTCACAGAAGAAATTTGTACATCAGAATAGCTCTACCAGCAGGCATTGCCTAAAGCCCTCTTTTGTCTATGGGCTGGAAACCAAGGAAGGGACCAGAGATGAAGCTGTATGGCCCTGCACAGAGAAGCTGAGAACACCTCTGGGGCCTGTAACAGCAGTGCAGTTCTGCTGAGGTGTCAGCTGCTCAGTACCCAGTCTGCTCAGAGGCAGACTTGTAGCTCAGTGTGGGAGCCAGGCGTTGGCCAACAGCGTGCTCCTCCTTGTCGCTCAGGTCTGGGGCTCAAACAGAGACGTGAGCTTTCTACCTTTCCTGACGTCAGGCCTGGGTGTGGACTTGGGTTGTGCCCACCTCTGCAGTGGGTCACAGCATTGCTTGGGGAGGTCCTGGAGAGTCAGGCTGCAGAGAATTCTCACTTTCTCCTGAGGAATTTGTGGTTGCCACACCCCAGGAGGCAGCATGTGACTACAGAGGTACAACAACAGACTTCAGTAAGATGTGAGTTCTATCTAGTCTGATAATTTGCTCTGTGTCAGTTGTATGACTCTAGGTCTGAGTTGCCTTATCTGTGTAATGAGGAGTTTCTGTCTTTACTGGTTTCTTGAAAAATGAAGGACAGTGGTCCACTGTGTCCCCCCTAAACATAAGTTCTTCAAAATTCTGAACTGTCAAGCCACCACACCTTGTATTACTCTAAGAAAGTGCTTGTGCAAAAACATGATCTTACACTTGTGTGTCCTAAGGAGGAAAAGCTGACCAGCAAGAAGAACGTCGGCGACAGAAGCAAATGAAAATTTTGAAGCAGGAGCTACGCCATTTGCTCTCCCAGCCACTCTTCCAAGAGAATCAGAAGACCAGGTACCCCACACAGTCTGGCAGGCCACCTCAGCCTGTGGTGGCCCCCAGGAATGAGTCTGCGCTGAACTGCCTCTCCAGACAGAAGAGGAGGAAGAAGAAGAAGCCAAAAGAGCTTCGGGCACCACCACAGGCAAGTCCAAGCACAAGCTAACTGCCCTGGGTCAGTGTGCTGACTGTTCAGTGTTGTCCTCCAGTTGTCTTTGAAAGCCTCCCTGTCCTTGCTTTCACTCCACCATCCACTTGGGAAAACCTCCCACTCTTGTGTCACTTAGCAGCAAAGACCTCATGCACACACGTGTTGTGGAGCAAGTGTGGTAACCAGCAGCTGTGTGTCTGTATCCAGGGTATGCAGGCTGCTTGTGTACGCCTCGGTTTCCAAATTAAAAACAAGTGGGAGCTGGAGACTCAGTCCGAGGGCGTTGCAGTGTGTTTTATCATTAACTTTGAGATTCCTTTGGTTCTCTGAGCTGTTTCCTTGATAAGGGAAATGGTGTCTTAGGCCTCTAGCCACGAGTCCCTGTGTCACAGTACTGCCAGGTCTTCAGCACGTTCTCGTCCTTCTCCACAGCAGTACAGTACACCTTTGGTCTGTCACACTACCATCTGCTGCCTTATCTAAGCTGCCCTGGAAGGTGGACAGGGAAGAGCTTGCTGTCCTTGGACTGCTCTCAGCTCACAAAGCTTCAGGGTCAAGAGAAAAAGACCACTAGATCTGCCCCAAGCTCCTGGTCACTGCTTCCTGTGCTGTTGGTTGTCCTAGCTCTTGTAAAGCAGACTTCTCAGTGTGAACTGCCCTGGGTCCATCCTGGGGTACTGCTGTGTTCTCTGAGGAACGTTACTCTTGTGTGGAAAGCTCAGTGCTCTGAGCTGCTTGCCTCACAGTGCTGGCCAGTGCAGAGCTTCAGGAGTGGAGGCCTCCAGTCTTGCATTGGGACCTAATGTAAATACAGTGCAGGGTCAGTGACCCTTGCTGCCTGGCTGGCTCAGGGTCAGTCTGTTAACTAGCACTCTTAATCTGGAGAAGTACAGCTCAGCCTGGACTCTGGGACAGATGCTTGCGGGCATGCTTCAGATGTTTGATTTGAGCTCTTTGGGATTGAATAGAGTACACAGGCATGCCTAAATACCCTAGTATCCAAGAAACATGGCCTCCCTCAACTCTCAGCAAGGCTGAGAGGTTGCATGGGACTTGGATTCTGGTGTCACTGTTGACTGAATGCCTGGCATTAAGATAGTTTGTAGCCCCCTGTATCTCACGTGCTAGTCGGGTACTCTACCACTGGGTTACCTGTCTCCCCAACCCCACTCCGTCCGCTCCCCTTCCCTCCTCTTTTAACTTAAATATAATGTGGTGGAGGGTGGGGCCTGATCACACATGGAGATAATTGGTTTTTCATGGTTCTGGGGCTCTTGGGTGGCAGGTGCTTATACCCATTGCACCCTCTGCTGACCCTTCTTTTTAATTTGAATGGTCGCATTGTCTACTCAGGCTTTGAAATGGGAATCCTCTTGCCTCAGTATCCTCACAAGCTAGGATTATAGGGCTGTACTACCACTCCTAGCTAGTAGATACTTTTATTGATGTAAAGTCTCATTTGGTTGTCTATGAGGTCATGGTGTACCTTAACACTCTTTGACTACAAAAAATAAAAAATAAAAAAGGAAGTAGACATTTAGTGGTTAAGATTTACCTAGTGCCACCCAACAGCCAGATGAGATGTTGGGGTAATTTGGGGCATCTTCCTTCTAGGTGAGTTCTATTTTGGAGCTTTTCCCATGACCCCAGTGTCTACACTGACCTGTCTGAGAGGACAAAGCAAACATCAAGAGAGCACCCAGGTGGCCTCCACTTTCCAGATGATGCTGTGAAATGTCAGTGGAGTTGATAAGAGTTGATAAGTGCTAAGATGGGGTCAGTGTTCAGAGCCCATCTGTGCCCACCTAGTGTGATAAGGCTTTGGTCAAGTGTGCACAGCTTCCTGCATCTGCTTTTAAGTGAGGGGGCATCCCTTCTAGTGCAGTTCACTCATGTGTGACCTGTGGGAAGATGGTCTTCGATACGTAACCAGTACCCAATGTTAAGAAGCCAGACTGAAAGTTGTTTTTAGAAACTTTTAATGCTAGGAAGATGTTTTCATGTGAGAGAAGCTGTATAGCTTGGCCTTGGACACTCACTGAGCCCCCAGCATCCCCCCCTTTCCCATGCTAGCTGTATACTTAGCTCTTAGACCTGTTCCATTGTTCCCCTGTGGCTCATACTTTGGGGAAGCAATTCACTTCTGAGGTGGCATGCTTCTCTGCTTGCAAAGCTCAGAGTTATTAAACTTGGGCGGCTGGCCCCAGCACAGCTTCATCTGTTGCAGGAAGACAGGCAGAGCAGGTACACTGCTTTTATTATCCTCACTAGTTGTTCCCGCTGGGAAAGTGAGGAATGCACAAGCACTGTGCTTTCAGTGTGTTGTCTAGAAAGAGCCATTTAAATTCCTTGAAGCAGCCCAGACCATCCATCAGGCAGGCATCCTTTTCTCATACCATTAAGTCTGGTAATGGAGAATAGTCTGGCTGAAGATAGTCATGGAAATAGATGTCCACTCTTTCTGGGGTACTTGTCATAGACCCCAAAGCTCTTATCCAGATGAGGGTGGGATGCTGAACACATCAAAAGATGAAGTCCAGATTTACAGTCCTGTGCCAGTGACAGACTCACTTAGTAGGAGCCCTTGGATATAAATGTTGGCACAGAGCAATGTGGGAAACTCAGGTCCCACACTGCCACACATCTCAGTGCTTTTGACTTATACTAAACAAAAGAAAAGCTATAAATCTGAATTGTGTAAGACTTAGGGTCCTGCTCCCAGTCCTTTGTACAGGCTGTCAGCAGACCCTCCCAGAAGCACCAACAGTCTAATCCCTGCAGAGTGAAACATGAGGGGAGCCCTGCAACCAAGGAAGGGCAATGGGTAGTTCCATGGTTGTCCTACAGAGGAGGGCGTGGTTAGCAAGTGCCTCAGCCCAGCCAGAGGCTGGTTTTTCTACTGGTATCCTCGGTGGATGCCTGAAGGGCTTGAGGCGGCAAGGTAAGGGGCCATTAAGGGGTGCATGCAGACGAGGAGGCTGTGGCCAGCACTGGAAATGCCCCTGCTGCCAACTTCTATGGCTTGTCTTTTCTTTCCTGCCTAACTGCCTATGAAGCTGGGCTGAGAAAAACCAAAGAGCCTTGCAAAACCTGTGCTTGGCTCTTCTAGCTTTCATGCTGCACACACCCCTACCCAGCTGACTACCTAGCCCTCACTTATAAAATTCACTGGGAATGATGGACAGCTGCAGCTCCTTGGTCCCAGTCATGAACACACTGACTCAGGTACAGGCCCTAGTATCTGTCAAGCCATATCCAGATGGGGTTAACAGCAGAACCCTGAAAGGCCTTGTCCTCCAAAGTCAGGAGTTCTGGTCCTGAGAGGTAGAGGGACCTCACAACCTGAGCTTCATGCTGAAGGCTAAAGTCCTTTTCTGGACTTTGGTATAAAAGTCTTTTTGTTTTATCCTTAAGTGGGTGGGAAAGTACAGCCATCATGAATGAAACTACACACCAGCTCCTCACACTCAGACAGTTGTCTACCATTATCCACCCATAGCCGGGCTGGACTCTTCATCAGTCTGGTAAGTCACCTGAATATGACAGCTGGCCTGGGCTTTTCTTCCCTGTGAGGGTCACTGCCCTTAGTGAGGACAAACCAGATATCCCCATTTTCACACAGCAGCATGTCAACACTGTCAGGAACCTCTTCCAGATAAATAAATAGGTCCAACGAGGTTCTTGCAATAAACAGGTACAGAGATAGAGTTCCTGGCTTTCTGGTCCAGAGTTAGCAGGCATTAGATCATCTATCAAAATAAATACTAAAATTCCTATTAAGTCATCACAGTCCATAGTGGGCACGGGTCTCAGTTCAGTGGCTTTACCCAAAAGGCTATATGCTTTCTAGTTGTCTAAATCACTTAAAAAATTGCCAAGGCAGAATGTTCCATTCAGAATGCAGTCCATTTAGATGACAGGCTCCGGCATGGCCTAAAATTAATCAGTGTTTTTCAGCTGCATAAAGGATGTTGTAGTGGGATGTTTTATAGAGCAGATAAACGGAAGGGATGGCAGCCTCAGGGAACACGTGGTGGTTCAGAGCAGTGTCCATCTCATCCACGTACTCCACCTGCAGAGCAATGTTCAGTGCCTGCGACAGGGCTGTGATCTGGACGTGGTCACACTCCATGGCCATGGGCTCCACTTCCTGAAAAGCCAAAATGAAAGACTTAGGAGGGAGGCCAGGGAGAGGAAGGCGCCCTGTTCCTTAGGATTGAGGTCACCTGTGCTGTGTGCTGGAGCTGATACCCACCTGTCATAGAAGCAACACAGCCAGAGACTACCGGGTTGTAGAAAATAAACCTGAGCCATTTTTATTCCAGACCCTTGAAGCAATGTGCAGAAGGGGAGGAATCTTTCAGTCTGCCATCAAAAACTTAGAACTAAAAAGACCTTGTCATCAAAGGCTTCCAAGTATATATAAGCTTGCAGAGGCCAGAGCCTGCGGTGTGTCCTGATGTTGCGGAGACAACAGAAAGGCATGTACCTCACAGAGGGCAGCTGCCCTTGTGCCTATGGTAACTGCCACTTACGTTAGGGCCCAGCACATCCTGACTAAAACAAAAAGTCCCAAGTGCCACAGGAAAATTGTGCTTTTCTTTACATGTGGGCCATTCCTTCAGGTAAACATATCGGAAATGAGCCCATCTTAGGGCAGATGTGACAGGTGCTGCCCCTCTGCAGTTTATCAGCCTAGCAGTCCCTGGGAATACAAGTGGCTTGCTCAAGAGCTCAGGCCACTCAAGGAAGATGTCTCCAGCAGGCTAACCTTGCTAGTCGGCATTGCAAGGGTATTCCTCTGGGCAGAAACAGTGGTCTTGGAGTGTGTGAGAGAGAGAGAGACAAGCAAAGCTCAGGCTGGGAGCTACATCCCCAAGAAGGACCCCAGGGACCTTACATGAGTGCAGAAGTCTTTGATGTCCATCTCCTCATCAATGAAATGTCGGAAGAAGTCAGCTCGGTTCCTGATGAAGGCTGACGTGAGCAGGCGCAAGAACTGCACGATTTGGTCCGAGGAGCTCTGGTCATTGAACACCTTCAGCAGGCTGGACACTGAGCTGTCCTTCTCTACAAGCTCCACCACACTGTAAAACTTCACACCGACATCACCATCAGGGTAGACCCAGCCAGCAGCTTCCCCTCCCCCTCCCCCCCACCTCGAGGGACCACCTCAGGGGTCCCCACCTGAGGGACCCCTCAGAGCTCACACTGATTGCAAGTTCTAGTATTGAAGCCCAGAGACACATCTAGGCCTGGCACTGAGTTTCCTCCTACCACACATTCAGAATGGCAGGAGGCTGACAGTCCCCCGAACTGAGGTCCCCTGTGCCCACACATCACCACAAGTAGAAAATGACCCTGCCCTGTCCCAGCCCCAGGCAGGAGGACTGAGAATACAACTGCAGAGCTATGGGTAGGCTGTGGGCTGTGGGCCTCCAGGCTGTCTGCTCCTGTCTGCTCCGCCCATGTGGAAGGCCTTGGTCCTCAGCCAGCGAGGCTCAGGTGAACTCACAGCGTTAAAGAAGTTTCTGAACTTGTGTTCCTCAAAGCCGGCAGCCAGGAGGTCATTTGGGGTCTGTAGCACATGCTCTTTGAACCTGGGGAGGAGACGTAGTGGTTACCTGATGGACATAGAAACACAGGGCAACTGTGACAGGCAACTGTCCAGTCCACAGCAGCCTCACACAAGCATCTTGTGATGTTTTAAGGCACTTCCACATGTACACCATGCTGCCTTCCCTGATGTAATGGCTCCATTTCTCAGATGCAAAAACTGAGGCAATCACCAACATACTCCCCCTTCCTATCCCTTTGGTCTCACTTGTCAGCATGTGCCCTGATCATGTCCAGCTCTTTCCCCTTTCTCCCTCTCCCTCATAGGGGCCTCCAGAGCACGCAACAACACTCCTCCCATGTCACACATTTACTGGCCTCTGCCCTTGACACTATGTTCCCCACAGGGATGTGTCTCCCTCAACCTTAGCCCAGGGTCACACTGTCAGGCAATGCCCATTTGTACTTTACCTGGGCAGTACCCATGAGGCCCCTGGGGTATCCCTCTTGGGCCAGTTTCTGGCCATCTTTACAATAACAAAGCAAATTTCACCATCAAGGAATTAACAATTAACATCCCTTACTAAAACCCAAATGGTGTAAAGGAACAAGGAAATAGAGCACACTGAAAACCAAGAATGGGGCTGGAGAGGGCTCACTGTAAGAAACCCGTGTTCTTGCGGAGGGTCCAGGTTTGATTTCAGTGCCCTCTTCTGACGTGTTCTACACCGAGGACACGTGGGACACATTACATACGTGCAAGCAAACAAACAAAAATACTTAGAGCTCAGTTACTATTTAGTACTCACTATGCTTCTAGGTGGCAAGGGAGTATTACAGAAGTGAAATGTGAGCACCATGGATCCCACTGTGTTTCTGTTTCTCAGATCTCTGCTCTAGTTGCTTGTGTGGGGTAGTTGGAAACCAGTCCTAATGCCGGCTTGCTCACCTATCAGATCAAGCCTCCCTGCCAACTCCAGCCCCGTGGCTGTTAATATATATCCTCTGGTTTATGCTCCAACTCCCATGCATAGCCCCTTCCTGTCTCTAGCCACGGGCCCTCCTGGGCATGGCAAGGTGCCTGTCCTGGCCATCGTGTAAAGTAGCTCTTCATTAACCACAAGACCAGCCTGGCACTGGTTGTGCTCACTGTCAGGGTCATGGGCCAGCAAGATGCCTTGGTTAAAGTGGCTGCTTCTCCACATAGTGGAAAGAAAGAGAAGACTAACACTTATCTTCTGGCCTCTATGCCCACGCCACAGTGTCTCCTTACTGACACATACACACATGAACATGCATGACCAAGGCCAGCAGGGACAAACTTCCTCCTCATCCTCCTTTCTCTTTTTCCTCTCTCCTCCTCCTCCTCCTTCACCATCCTCCCCCTCCTCCTCTTCTTGTGTTGGTGTGTGAAAAAGGTCTCGCTGTGTGCCTCCACATCCATTTTCCTTTTTTCGGTCAGTGCCAAGTGCCCACTCAATATTGGTGAACCATGCCTTCCTCAGCCTCAGGTTACAAAGCATTAGGCAGATTACTCATACCTTCCTCAGCCTCTGGGCTGCTGTCAGAGTGGGCAGCCAAGTTTCCAGGCATGCAAGGCTTGTACTAGGGAGCCCTCAGCCCCCTGCTACAAGCCTGGCCTAGGGCAGACCCAGCACAGAGCAGCAGAGAGGTCTACACAGGTCCCACTCACTTGACAATCTCTCTGCTCTTGCCCAGCAAAGACTCCAGGTAGGCATAGCCCAAGGCCCTGTAGAAGCAGTTCCCATCTCCTTTGGTCTTTCGGATCGAGGTGAATCTTTTGCTGAGTTCCTAAGGGGAAAGGCAGATATGTGGATCTCAGCAGCAGCAATGGCATTGGTATGGGTCAGCCACTGGCCTGGGCCATAGCTCCTTCAGTGTCCCCATCCTCATCCATCTCACAGATACACAAATCTCCTGAGGTATCAGAGGGTGTCAGCCCCTGGCACTAGACAGCCTTCAGTCAGGGGAGGTGACAGAGTTAGATGATGGAGACAGTATGAGGACATGAGCTGTGGTACTCTGGGTCAGAGACTTCCACACAGGAGGGAAAAGTCAGTCAGGGAAGGCTTCCTGAAGGAAGCTGGCAGTTGAGTGGGGTATGTATCAGGGAAGCTGCAGAATGCTAAGGAGCCTTGGAAATCCTATAAACGTTTCTCAGTGGCGTGAGGAGTGCCATGCCACGCAGAATCATAAGGACTCAAGTCAATAAAGTCAGCACTTAGAATGGTGCTTAGCTTTAAAATGTATGGTGTTCCCACAAGGAAAGGATCTCTTTCTGAGGCAAATACCCAGTGGTCTAAGTGTGTTTCAGTTTACCCAGGAACCTGGCCCAAACTCCATACTTGCTAAAAGCTGACCCCTTCTTTACTCCCGACCTTAGCCCCCTTAGTTTAGGCTTTTGTTCTCTCTAACCTCTGCCCCACCTGAATTTTCCTCTGGTAAATCCTGTTTTCAGGATGATCCCGAAGAATGGATAGGATGTCACATTTTTCTGATATTAGGTTGAAAGATGTTTCACTCTGAAAGAGAATGAAGGAACACTGAGCTAGCTTCAAAGACGCCCATGGGGCTCACGGAGCTGATGGCCTCTGAGCAACCAGCTACACAACCCGGAACATACTCTCTTCCCTCAGAAGGGCTGTCTGAGCATGTGACCAGCATCCTTGGGACTTCTTCCACCCCCCCACCCCCCAGGGTGTCCTGGCCCTAGGGCTGGGACAACCAGGACTGGCACCATCATGAAATATCCTGGTTATAAAGAACTGACCTCATAGCTTGCTAACAGACTCATAATATTAAATACCTCCGACTTAATCTCCCTGCTGGAGTATGCTCCCACCTCACTGATTTTATTGGATCACCCACTCGCTCATCCTTTCTTCAGTCTACCCTCCCTGCTCTGCCCAGGTTCCTGAACGTGCATCTCATGTCAAGCTTGGTGTCGTCACATGCCGGCAATTGAGGGGTATTCCCACCCCTACACAATAACCAGTAATACCACAGGGTACAGGTTAACAATGAGGTGATCCTGTGCAGGACTGGAGGATGTGTGCTGGGCCCCGGGGACACCTTCCCATACTGCCTACTGGTGTTACCAGCTCTGAGTCAAGGCCAGAACCAAGCCTGAGCACATACCTCTGCAGAGCCAAGGCCTCCCAGCCTTGGAAGGACTCACTCAGCAAGCAGCTGAGGACACCATGGATTAGCAGCCACCTCCCCTCCTGTGCTTTTTTCACTAGCCTTGGGGTGAGAGTGCACAGGGTTGGGGGCACAGACGCTGGCCATGCTCTCTCTGCTACCAGCCACCCAGGAATGGTGCTCTCTAGAGAGTAAAATAAAAAATGCTGGGCTGGTGAGATGGTGGCTCAGATTGCCAGCAAGCCTGCCCACCTGAGGTTGATTGCAGGATCCTGCATGGTGGAAGGGGAGAGCCAGTTCTCACAAGTTGTCCTCTGACTTGTGTCAGTGGTGTGTGTATTTGTGCATGTGTGCAAGCACACACACACACACGTACATTAGAATTGTTCTTTAAGTGACCCAAGGAAGAGTTTCCAGCTTAAAATAAGGGTCCTGTGGCTGATAACATGGCTCAGTAGATAAAGCACTTGCCTTGAAAGTGTGAGGACCAGAGTTCAGATCCCCAGACTCCACATGCAAGCTGATGGGAAGCCTGCCTGCAACCCCAGCTCTTACGGAGTTGGTACAGGGGATCCTTGGGACAAGCTGACAAGGTCATCTGTTCAAATCAGCATAGTCTAGGCCCATAAAAAAGTCCACTGGGGCTTCTGGAGAAGCTTTTGGGCTGGGATAAAAAGAGCAGAGATGCTGATGCAGTATCTACTTCACAGTTTACAACAGCCACCTGTGACCGCAGGTGGAAAGCCAACATAGGGGGATGGTTTGATGGTGTGTGAAGTAGTGACTGGTGCCGCTACTGGGGTAGAGGCTCATCTGTCCTCATTATCACAACACACTTGTGAGGGAGCCATTATACCCATGGTACTGCCAAGGTCAGGTTGTTTGAGCTAGGAAGTAATTAATGCAGGTCAGTGTGAAGTTCAAACACACCAAACTGCTAGGTAGGCACAGCCCAGACTCTAGAGCTCTCAGAGGACTCATCTGCCAGACCACAGAGGAGTGTCCTGTCCAGGGCTCCTTGTCCAGAGGCTGGGTCCAACCTCTCACTTCTGCAGCACCCCCAGAGACACTGTCCCACAACCCCAGTTCCTGATGGGAGTTCAGTGTGTCCAAGAGCCTGGCCACCGTGTGATGCTTACTGCAGGGCATTAAGGGACAGTTCCTAGGTAACACCAGGCACAGACATGGAAATGTAACAGCAGGTTAAGGGTGCTGCTCGGAAGTGGGAGCACTTGTCTGGCATCTGCAAAGCCCTGGGTTCATCCCTAGCTCCTCAAAACAAACAAACAAACAAAAAAAAAACAGTTAAAAAAAAAAAAAAAGGAAAGCCTGCCACTAGAGGGGAAAGACAGTCCCTCCACCGTCTTTGAGCCTTCTACCAATGCCAGAAGATGCCAGAAGATACCAGCTTCTTCCTTACATTCTTCCTTCCCACTTCCAAGTCTCCCTTTCAAAGATCCACAGACCTCTGGCTTGCAGCATGAAATGGCTGCGTTCCATTTGCCGGTTTAAAGAACCTTAGGCCAAGCCAGCTTTGTTTGACTTCCTGGGTATATATGTATATAATGTATACACAAACACACATATAAATATATACTTGTAGTAGATTTAAATATATAATATATAAAAACATACATAGCTATGTATAACAATATATTTAATATAAATAATAATAGATATAACTATATATAGTTCTAAATCACAGAAGAATGATATCATTTACATGGCATACAGTTGCTAGTGTGCAGCTAGTTCTGCTTACACTGTGTGGAGGATACAAATCCCCATGGAGAGGTATTCTGAACAGCCTTCTCCACACCTTATGTGCACGGCAAGGTGACCCACAGGCCCCTTTGCTTGGCAAGTGACCACAAGTTGTGCTCAACCACACTCCTTGTTGCATAGTTAACTCATTCCTGTCTTGCTACCTGCTTCCTGACCATTTACAGAACTATTTTTACAGATGGCCTACTTTAAATGGTGTGTGGGCCTTTCTGAACCACAGGCTATAGAGCACGATGCCCCAACTGTATCTAATGGATTTGCATTCAATTCCATCTCCAAACAAAGCCCAGGAATGAGTATGTCAGAGGCATAAGGGTCACAGAAGGATGCCCAAGCCAGCCATATCTACTTGGCAATTTCTGAGAAGGCAGCAGTGAGGAGGGGAAGAGGAAACTCACAAAGAGGGAGCCTATACCAGGGAAGGCTTCCCGGGGCCTGCATCTGCCCAAGCTCACTGATGCCTTCTTGAAGCATTCACCCTAATAGCAAGAAATTGACCAGTGGCTGAGCACTGTTGAGCTGCACTGTCAGTCTCAGAGATTTTCCCCAGTTTATCTCATTTGTTCCCAATCTCTATTGTTTCCACCAACTCCCTGCCCTTCACTCATTCCCCAACCTCCTAAGGCCAGTTTGGTATGTCTTTTGAAATGTGTGTGTTTTTAAAGAGTATGGCAATAAAATGTACACGACATGAAACATTTTAGCCATTTTTATGCACACAGCTCTGCTGCCTTAAGTACCCCCCAATCTTTGGGAACCACCCCTCTACTTTCTGCTGTCTTCATGAATCAGACTACAGATGAGATGTATTTTTCAATACAAAAAATGGAGTTGTTATATGTTTTAAATTTACACAGATATTATAATACAGATATTATGGTATTTTTTTTTTTTTCCTTTACTGGATACTATTTAAGAACCAGCCCTGGCTAGGTATGGTGACAAATGCCTGTAATCCTAGCATCCAGGTGACTGAGACAGGGAGATGGTGAAACTGAGGCTAGCATAGGCTATACTACAAAACTGTCTCAAGGGGAGGGGGTGGGGAAGAGGGAGGGAGGAAGGAAGGTAGATCGGCCTTAGATTGGCATCTAGTGTCCCCAAAGTGTATATGTGGGCACCCTAGTGATAATCAGGTTTTCACCTTGGCACTTCAAGACTCTAAAACACCTTCAGAATGACCCAAGTCCCTACCCAAACCCACCAGCATTCCTGGTGAGACCAGCCTCAAACTCAGGGTTTTGATGTTAATTGGTGGGCTGAAGTTAATTGGTGTTTGCTTTGAAAAAACCCCCGGCTGAAGACTTCCAGGTTGTTATGGAGAAAAGGAAAACATGCAGGTCACACCCGACTGTCCTGTCAGACCTAACCAGGCCACAGGAAAGACATGGGCTCTTTAATTACTGGTTTTCAAATAGATGCTAATTAGTTAAGCTGGGCTTGGCAATAGTTTTAGCACTGGAGGGGAAGCCTCAGCTCACACCTCTACCTACAAACCACCTTGCCAGCCATTCTGTCTGTGTATCTGAGCATGCCCGCATCCCAAGCTCAGCATCACCCAGCAGGCCCAGCAAGCCCAGCAGGCGGGTCATCTTCTTCTGGGCAGGGTTGAATCACCAAGCAGGCCTCAAAGCCACCACTCACCACACAGCCTGACCTCAAGGCACCCGGGAATGCTGGAAACTCCAACCTCACTTAGCAGCCACAGGTTCAAAACCTCAACCTCCCCTCTAAGAAGGCTCAAGTCCTTGCCAGGTGCTACCCAGGCATGAATCCTTGGCCCTACCTGCTGACTTACCCACAGTCACTAGAAGGAGTGTAAGTTGGCTGAGTGCGTAATGAATTCACTGCTTAAGCATAAGGAGTTTTGTAAGCCAGCACCCATGTAAAAAGCCATGCACCTATGACCTCAGCATCAAGAGGGGGTCGCAGAGGCAGTCAGATCTCCAGAGCTTGATGACTGGCCAATCTAGCCAGTCAGGGGCTTCAGGTTCAGTGAAGCCCTCAGATCTAGAGAGGTTGTGGAGATGGCTCAGTTAACAAAGGGCTTGCTACCCAAGAGCGAGGACTATAGTTCAGATACCCAGAACGCCCTTAAAATTTGGGCAGTGTGGCAGCTACCCGTAATCTCAGCACTCAAGAGGCAGAGACAGGATCCCTGGAGCAAGCTGGCTAGCTAGACAACTCCACGCGTAGCATGAGACACTGCCTAAAGAAACAGCAACTGAGAACACCCTGTGCCAACTTCCGACATCCGAATGCAGGAGCACATATGTGCATGCCAGTCCACATACACCTGTGCCCACACATGCATGAAGCATGTTCATACGCACACTATCCATACATGCGCTTAAAAAAAAATAAAAAGAAGCCAGGCTCAGTGGCATTTACCTATAACCTCTGGGGAGGCAGAAGCAGGTGGATCTTTGTGAGTTCGAGGCCAGGCTGGTCTACAAAGCAAGTCCAGGACAGCCAAGACTATACAGAGAAACCCTGTCTGAAAAAACCAAAAGTAAAATAAAATAAAAAGGAGAGGAAAGCATCTGATATTGATCTCGGGCTGCCACACACGAGCACAGGTTGGTACAATCCTCCAGTCTCCCATCATGAACACACAGGGGAACACTGCACACATGTGCCCAGAATTCTTTCTCATGTGTGTGTGTGTGTGTGTGTGTGTGTGTGTGTATTCACATATAAATTATGTATATGTTCATATGTGTGAATATTCATATATACATTCAAATACATATTCATATATGGATATATATGAATACACACGTGGAGTATTCAAAAGTCCATTATTGATGAGGTGGATTAAGCCAGAGGTCACTGAAACCACAGGTGCAGGGAGACCCATTCCTACTCCAGCACCTGAGGACAACTGCGTTGTCACAGAACATCGCCACTTGGCCTTTTTGCCACTGGAAGTCAGACGTCTGGTCTCCTCTAAAGTCAAGCTGTGGATAGGCTGTGCTTTCTGGGGGCTTCTGGACTCTGCCGCTCTGCAGGCAGCTTTCCTCTGTTCCTAATGGCTGCCTGGAGGCGCTGCCTGGATCCTTTGGATCTATGTGATAGAAGGAGAGAACTGACTCCTGCAAGTTGTCCTCTGACCTTCACACGCACTCTATGGCATGTTTGCACTAAACCCCTCTATACACAAACAAATACATGTTAAAGGCTCTCTGGCTCCCGTGATGGGTGCTCCTTTCTCTCACCTTGGAACCTTCCATGGTCCTCCTACCTTCACCTCCTCCCTCTTGTAAGGACCCTGTCATGACCTCACTGCACCTTCCATGATAACTACAGGTAATCTCTCACTTCAGCCCCTTCATAAAGTCACAGTCTGGAACCTCTCTTGCCCTGTGGGTAATGTATTCATAGGTGCTGGGGAACAGGATACTCTAATTTTTGTTGACAATTACTCAGCTTCCTACATGACCCTTCTCTATGGGGCCCGGACCTCTTATCTTAGTTGCTGCCTGTTTTCAGAGCTGCTGCAGCTGGGCTCTGCCTCCCTCAGATAGCGTAAAGATACGTAACATCTTTCAATGACCACCTGCTCTTAGGTCCTGCCTCACCTCTCCCTAGGACTCAATCTAAGTAGCACCATCGAATTCATTTACCCCTACTTGTTCTGTTGCCTCATATGTCCCCAATTTAGCCCCTGGGATACCCTTCCACCAGCCAGAGTACCCCCAAATCCAGGAGCCCTCTTCCACTGTCTCACCCTGCCCCGCTAAGTTCCTGGGTCTGACAGCCCCTGATTCTCCATGAGCAGTCAGTGTAGGCTGCTTTGGCAGGCAGGCCTTTCCTCAATGCCATCTGCTGGGCTCAGATGTTTGTCCCCTCCATGCTGCATGAGGCTAACTGCCAATGTAACAGCGTCTCAAGGCAGCATTCTGTCTTCATGACTGGACCAGCATCACAATCATGGACCATATCCAGTATTGACTCAGTTTCTCTAGCCCCCTTCTGCCAAGCAATGCCTTCACTCATGGTAAGAAAGCAACAAGTCCCTGGCCCGATGCTGGCACCTCAAGCTCTGAGCCTGATAAAGCTCTGTTTGGTATAATCACCCAGTGATAAGCTATTACAACAACAAGATCAGGCTAAGACACAACCAGGAGCCAGGGGCAGGAGTTACCATAACAAATACCTGAAGACATGAAGGCTTCGGGGCTGGGGAGGGGGTATGGCTGGGACACTTCCCAGGTGAATGCTGGAGAATCCTTCGCAGTTGTGAACAGACCATGAAGGGCGATTTTGGTGCGGGTAAGACAAGATGGAGAGCAGAAGGTAAAGTAGGAGTCTTCCCAGAGGATTTTGTGTGAGAGCGCTGGCAAGAGCTGGCACTGCGAAGGCTGTGAGGATGTAGCCTCAGGTGGAAGTGAGGAATGAAATACTGGAGTCTGCTGCAGGGAAGGGCCATCTCCTCAAGTGGCAAAGGACTTGGCTGCAGGGTATCCTTGCCCCAGAGCTAAATGGGAAAACAGAACTTATGAACAATGAACTACAAAGGACACAGGGTGACAGAAGGCAGCATCATTCAGGCTGTGGTGTGGCTTCCTGTAACTTCATCTACAAAAACACGTGAGGGGAGAGAAATGATGGAAAGATAGTATTTATAAGCAAAGAGGATGATGATCTTGGAAAACTCACAGCCTGACTATGTAAAAGAACAAAATGGCATCTGTAGACCAAGGGTGTGGCCCAGCGCCTGGCCATCCGATGGAGAGGATAGTACAGAAGGGAGCTAGGTGTCACTCCGGGAGACGGGGCAAGAGACACCCCTTCCCCGAAAACATGGCAAAGATAGAGGCTGGCTATGCCCAGAGGGCACATTTCCAGGGAGCCTCTCAAGTGTCCCCACATTTCAGGACAGCATGCCACCTGGATGACAAGCTGTGACAGGGCACGGGGAACACTGCTATTCTAGTGGCCAAAGCTGTGGCCCCGGGGAAGTGTCCACATGGGCTGGCCCTGAGGCCTGCAGAATGACAGAGCTGTGGGACGGGATGCACAGTGTAGGGGTCCCAGAGTAACCAGTCAGAGTCCCCACTAGGATGATGCCCATGGGCAGAGAAGGCCATGGGAATGTAACGTGGCTGTTGTGAGCTGCTGCCTCGGCTGAGCCCAGCAAATTCCAGGTGGGAAGTTCCACCCTAGTGGCACAGAGGCAGCGCAGAGTCAAAAATGAGCTTTGCTGAACTGGGTGTGGGACTCAGACAGGACGACTTACTCTTTGTTTCTGGCCGACTTCCCACTCCGGGGACGGGAAGGTCTGTCTCAGCCTGTCTGCCATCACATTTGGGTGAGAGGTAATGCGCAGACCTCACAGGCCCTCGGCTGGCAGGAGCCGGCAGGAGACTGGCCTGGGCCTCACCTCTGCCTGGCTCACCTATGCCTTGGCCCTGGCCTCTGGACATGTGAGTTGGGGATAAATAATTAGGTCAGACTAGGAGCTGCTGAGATATCATGGGTGCACCTTGTGTGTGAAAAGAACAGGTGTGTGTGTGTGTGTGTGTGTGTGTGTGTGTGTGTGTGTGTGTGTAGGGGGTAAGTAGAAAGCCAAAGGTTAAATGTCCTCCCCAAAACAACTTGTAATTTAGTTGCAGTGTGAGTTCTTCAGAGGTCACTAGGTCTGGGAAGTCCCTTCTCATGAAACGATTCATGCAGCCATCAGGGAGAAGGGTTTTCTTTAGTCCACTCTGCCCTCCTTCCGTACTATGACACAGGGAGAAGACATGTGGGCCCCCACCAGAGGCCAGCGCCTTGATGATGAACCTGCCAGCCGCCTGCAGGACCAGAAGCCAATAAACGTCTGCTCGTTAAAAGTCACCCAGTCTATGACACTGTTGTGGCAGTCTGAAACCTCTAGCTCAGGGTCTTTGTACCTTTTGGTTTTTTCTGTCTCAGTGCTCTTCTGCCTCTTTACATGACCTGGGAGATGCCGCCTCAGCAGAGAAACCTCCCTGCCCTTCCCTCACCACCCTATCGCCTTATCTTGCTTGTTCAGGACAGAGCTGTCAGGTGGGTTCACTGACTGGCTTGTACCGTCTCCCTCCGCCCAAATGCCAACTCTGTCACTGCTGAATCTCCACTTCCAGGCATGTTGGAACATACTCTAAAAATGCATCCGAGCGCTCTGAACTGAACCACTGAAGCCCAAGCTCCAAGCCTCAGCATGAAGCTTTATTTTGGAACAGGGTCATCACTGATACAATTAGTTAAGATGCGGTCACAGTAGAACAGGGTAGGTTGCCAGTCCCATGACCGGTTTTCTTATTAAGAGCCATCTAGACACATGCACGGGAGAGAGCCATCTGCAGATGAGTTCCAATGTCACAAGTCAAGCTCCTGCTGGAAGCTTGGGGAAGCCAGGGCTAGAACATTCCCCAAACACCTTCAGAGGGAGTGTGGCCCTCCCTGCACCTTCACCCGGGACTTCAGCCTCCAGACTCATCAGAAAATGAGTCCCTATGGATCTCTCCCACAGAAGGGCTTTGATGCAGCATCCCTGGCAAACATGCTGAATGAGCAAGCCTGCCTCTCACTCCAGCTGGCCACCCACAACCCAGCATCAGAGAGTCAGCAACCACTCCACATCCATCAAAAATGTTGCAGCTCCCTCAGGTGCAGGCAACCCAGATGCCACAGCCCAGCATACAACACCCTGCACAGGACCACCCAGATCCCATCCAGCTTCCCAGATTCACTACCCCGGGCTCTTCCAGCTTCCCTGTGTCCACACTGGCTGCTTCCTCTTCCCAGGGTGCCCGCTCTCGACCACGCCCCAAGACAATTTTCCTGCTACCTGGAATGCACTCTTTCCCCAGTCCTTCCTGAATACTCCTATACGACCTCCAGCACTTGGCTCTTTCCCACTGGTGGAGTGTGTCATGCTCCCAAGGCCCCTGTCGGACACTCAGGCCATGTCAGTAATTCAGTGGCCGTGACCTGACTCACAGGCATGAACTCCAGGAGAGGGCAGGTGTTGTGTCTTTCTTATCACTGCCCCAGTATAGGCTGAGGGTGCCAGCGTTGGCTTGCTTAATGCATTCAATGCATGAGAGAAGGCAGACAGGACCATGTGCTTTGGCTGCCTGTACTCAGTGTTCTCTCTTACCCCCAAGAGCAAAAGCGCTCATAGTGAGGGTGAGCTATTTGCAGCTGACTTCTGAGGACTTCATGTCCTCTACCTAGGACCTACCTTCCAGTTCATCCCAGGGACCGGTGACATGGAAATAGAGAAAGTTGCTGTCATTCCCAAGACAACAGGCTCCTCTATCTACCATCTATACCCATACACCATAAAGCCTCAACCAGCATTTAAAAGCAGTGAAGTAAATCAGCCATGGACCCCAGGACCTGAAACACAGTAGGTGTATAATCAATAAGCGCCATGTAAACAGTCTCTAGACAGATGTCCTGTTTGGTGAGTTTTAACTATTATCTCTCTCTCCAAAGCACCCAAACTCCCCAGAGGGGAGTTGCTTTGGGTCCCAGCTGCTGGTCTCCTGGGTTCAGGGCAGACCTAGCTACCCAGTAAGGAAGAGAAGCTGAGGTCTGAGGTCCCAGCCCCTACTGCCCTGGTGTGCTGTAGCCAGAAGCCACACGGCCTCCAACTTCTACATGGCTAAAACCGTCATTTCAATAACTCTATTCCCTGGCAGGGGAGGCAGAAATACCTGGGCCACTTTCCAAGAGCAGCAGAGCAGGTGAACCCGTGGGTCCCGAGAACAAGCAGGAAACTAATGCTTCCGGTCGCTCGCCCCCTGTTTCTGGTTACACCCCAGCAGGAGGATGGCTTGTAAGATGCTCAGGCTGCTCATCCACACTCAGCACAGGCTTGACTGAGACCCTAGCATCCCACATGTGGGAGGAGGGCCAAGCACAAAGAACCAGGTGCCTGCACTACCCAGTTTCGGTATTTCAAAGGCCCTAGTTGAACAGCGCGCGCGCGCCCGCGCGTGCACGCGCGCGCGCACACACACACACACACACACACACATTCCTCACAACAGCCACTGGGACAGCTCAGACTGGAAATGAGGGAATGGGGTGTAGTTCATAAGTTGAGCATTCTCTAGCATGCATGAAAAACAGGGTTCAAAACCCAGCATTCCCAAACAAAACTGAAAGAGCAGTTGAATCCAGAGCTAAGTGATCCGAAGCCGACCAGAAAGCACTAATGATGGATGGTCAGGCTCCCTGGAGACCTTTGCCGAAAGTTGAAAAGTATAGGGCGCCGCCATAATCAATTCCCTCTTGCCTGACCCCATGGCCACCTGGAGGGTGGGCTGATGCAACAAAGGACACTTGGGCCAGAGGCTTGGGTTCAAGCCCCAGCTGTCGCACCATCAGGATCCCCATGAGCTTCTGCCCTGTCTGGCCTCAGTTTCCCCACCTGCCCAAGCCGTGGGGTTTGAGCAAGTTTGGCCAGCCTAGGGTCAAAGATGGGAGTTTCTTTTAGATCTTTTTGCCTGTACTCCTCATTCCTCACGACTGGGGGCCGCCCCTTCATGGGTCCAGACTCCACAGACCTGTTGCCATCAGGAGATCCGAGCTTACGCTCAGGTGGCCCTAAGGCTTGCCCGGCGGCCAGATCGCTTGTCCTTGGGGATGGTTTATTGGGCAGAGTCGGTCTGTAGTGGCTAAGTCCGCGATGGGTGGGCTGCTAGCTGTCCATTGGAGTGCTACTTAACAAAGAGTGGAGACCACAACGCCAGAGGTGCCCCAACCCGCCCCGGCTAGGAACATGCCTGGAGACTTCGAGGAGGTGCCTGGGGGCCACCTAGAGTGGACACGAAGCACCAGGGCTCAGACCAGGCTAGATCTCCTGGCTGCAGGTCCCCGAAGGGACAGCGCGGCAGACCCCAGAGCTCAACATCCCGAGGGTGGAAAGGACTAAGCCTCGCGCCCGACCGCGCGCATGCACATGCGCCCTGACGGCGCCCCCTCCCCGTCCCGCTACCACTGACCATAGTGACCGGAGCCGTCGGGCCACGTCCCGCCCCAGCGAGGAGCGAGCGGGTGCTAGGGGAGGCGCTGGGAGGCTCCACCGTTGGGTCGGGCGGCGCGGGCGGCGCGGGCCTCGCGGGTGTGGGGCAAGCGCAGAATACACCCGACCGCCCCTCAGACCTGAGCGCAGACCTCCACTGTGTCCCAGCAAGACGCACGCCCCGCGATTGACGTCTGAAGCCGGCAATCAGAAGCCAGGATGCGGGACGTCACAGAAAGTGGGTGGGACTCTACGCGCCTTCAGCCTATACTTTGGGGCCCGTTTGACAGGAGGCCGCCCCCCCTTTAAAGACACAGAGTGCTTTTAACTAGCAAAGGCGTTCGCCAATCCGGAAAGCGGGTCCTGGTTTGCAAAGTCAGAAGGACTTCTAACTAAAACTGCAAATTGAAGTCCTCTGGAAGATTAGACGGCTCTCATTAATTAATCAGCGAGTTCATATAAGTATA